CGAGGGCGATGTATGCTAGTTTATTCGCGTTGAAAAATGCAGGAGTCGAGGGAGTCATGGTCGACGTGTGGTGGGGATTGGTGGAGAAAGAGGGACCTTTGAAATACAACTGGGAAGGATATGCTGAGCTTGTAAAGATGGTGCAAAAGCTTGGTCTGAAACTTCAAGTTGTTATGTCCTTTCATCAATGTGGTGGCAATGTTGGAGACTCTTGCAGGTATGTATACTAGGATGTCAATTGGAGTTTTCTCCACTTATGCATAATCCTCTCCAACTTGTTTATGTAAATAGCTCCCGTCTAGTTTAGATAAAAATCATATTTTTAGTAGATTTTGATAAAAGTTGAAAAAAAGCATTGTTAAAATTAATTGTTAATTTTGGTTTAGATTTTAATCAACTTTTTAAGCAGTACCAAACAAAAGCTTAGCGAGTGCACGACATGTGTACCATTAGATTATTTAGAAATGCTAGTATGACATCCATTTTCGTGACTAATATATAGTCGATGTTTTATTTTTGCAGCATCCCTCTGCCCCCATGGGTGCTTGAAGAGATGAGCAATAATCCTGATCTTGTGTACACCGATAAATCAGGGCGACGCAACCCTGAGTATATATCGTTGGGCTGCGATTCATTGCCTGTGCTAAGAGGTCGAACTCCAATTCAGGTCTACTCCGATTATATGAGGAGTTTCAGAGAAAGATTCAACCACTACTTGGGAAATGTTATAGTGGTAAGCCATTTTTTAACTTTCTTGGATAGTTTTGCTCATTGTCCTAGTAGTTTAAGTTAATTTCTATTATTTTAGGAAATTCAAGTGGGGTTGGGGCCTTGTGGCGAGCTAAGATATCCAGCCTACCCAGAAAGCAATGGCACTTGGAGATTTCCAGGAGTTGGTGAATTCCAGTGCTATGACAAGGTACAAAATTATTAAAAAGGAGTAGCTAAACTCTTGTTCATTATCGACCAAACATGATGAATTAAGTTAAACATGTGTTATGTAAACAGTATATGAGAGCCTCATTGGCAGCTGCAGCCGAGGCGATTGGGAAGACTGACTGGGGACTCGAAGGCCCTCACGACGCAGGCCAATACAACCAATTACCGGAAGAAACAGGATTTTTCCAAAGGGAAGGCACATGGAACACTGAATATGGGTATTTTTTCTTAGAATGGTATTCTGGTAAGCTAGTCGAGCACGGAGATAAAATCTTGTCAGCTGCACAAGGAATATTCGAAGGAACCGGAGCTATACTATCAGGAAAAGTAGCTGGAATTCATTGGCACTACAAAACAAGATCACACGCAGCTGAATTAACTGCTGGATACTACAATACTAGGAATCGAGATGGTTATTTGGCAATTGCCCGAATGTTAAGTAAACATGGAGTAGTGTTCAATTTTACATGTATGGAAATGAGGGACGGAGAACAGCCAGAGAGGGCTAATTGCTCGCCTGAAGGTCTAGTTCGACAAGTGAAGATGGCTACTAAATCTGCTGGAACACAACTTGCTGGAGAAAATGCTCTGGAGAGGTATGATTCTGGTGCATATTCGCAAGTGTTGGCAACAGACCGGTCAGATTCTGGAAATGGACTCACTGCATTTACATATCTAAGAATGAATAAGCGATTGTTCGAAGCTGAGAATTGGAGCAAGTTTGACGAATTCGTGAAGAACATGTCAGAAGGTGGTCGAAACACGACACTTTCAGAGAGTGATATGAGCAGGACGAACTTGTATGTCAGATTCATTAAGGACCATAATGTGCACAAGAAGAAGAGCATAATCAAGACTACCTGTTTGTAAAATTATCAATGTAATATTAATAATTCTTTCCTTGTACAAAACATTCTATTCATTTGCTTCATATTTGTTGAAGTATATATGAAATTCTGTTTCTGTGTACTTGGATATAAGTAATGGCTACTGATTTTGAATTATGTATCGCATGGTTATTCAGTAAATGAATTTAGTGATGTTGGAGATTCGAACCCTGGTTTATGTTGCTACCTTATATTTCATCAAAGTCGCAGTTTGTTAAAACACGGTTTTACTTATAAGCTG